GCGGGTGTGGCCAAAACCAAGCCAAAACCGGCCCATTTTTGTGAAAACGAACCCATTTTTTGTCCAAAAAAGGGCATGGATAGCCTTTAGGTGGCTTATATAGTGCTCCTGGGGGCAGGGGGGGGGGATTGCACTCTGCAGACCTCCAAAAGCCTCTGCATGCCTCGTGTTTTGCACAAAAAAAGGCATGCAGAGGTTTGGGAGGCTTGTGGAGTCTCTGGGAGCTGGGGGGGGGGCAAAAATGAGCAAAAACGACCTGTTTTTTGCTTGATTTTGTCCTCCCATGCCCCCAGGAGCATTTTGCAAGCCTCCCAATCCCTCTGCACATCCATTTTTGCAAATGGGGTGGGGGTTTTGTGGGCCACAAATGCTGTATTCAGTGTATTAGACGCACCCAGATTTCCCCCCCCCCCTTTTTTTGAGGGAAAAAGGTGCCTCTTACACTCTGAAAAATACGGTATTTCCTGTCTATTTTTAGAAACTGCAAGAATTGTTAAGGTTGTGTGGCTGGTTTAAGGACTATACTTTTTATGTAAAATAAAAGTATCAGTGAATTAACCTCCCCCCCCCCCGACACCTTAAATAACAATCAGCTCCAAATCAATTATAGCCAATTTTTGTCATCACTCTTTTCCTTTGGGCAAAATCTACTTTTGAGTAAAATGTCACATAACTATCTCAATCTAGAATTCTTTTCACTACAAATGTTTATTACCTTTTGCTTCAAAACAAAATAAATATGGGCATTTTTATAAAGTTAGAAAGTAAAGTTTCATTTGAAATTCTTTCCTCTAATCCATAATATTTTTTTTATTCTTTATCTCTTTATAGCTATTGAACTTTTCTGTGAATTTCATCCTGTTCTAGTTATGTTTTAAGGAAGCTACTTTTAAGAAATCATTCAAAACCGCATTAATTTCTATTAAATACCTGCTTCCACCATATAGAATCACTTTAATTTCCCTGAAAATTTTACTTCTCTTTCTCTCTCTCTGTATGTTTGTGTGCAGGTAGATAGGTAAGTAGGTAGGGTAGGTAGGTGGATAGATGGATAGACAGACAGATAGACAAGACACTTTAAATACATTTATATACATATGTACATTTTTGTTAGCTAATGGACAGTTGGAATACCAGTATCCCAAACAATATTTAAAAACCTGCTTTTAACTTTTTCTTGTTTTACAAAAAGAAAAGAAAAACCTTATACAAAATAGCAACTAATGTACTTGCCATATTGTATCCTACTAGAAGTTTACATCAAAGCTGTAATAACTGTGCACTGGTAATACATTTTTAAAACTTTACAGTAATACAGATATATCCATTCTTCATTTTAAATTCTGCTATTCTACTTAAAACTAGGCTTGTTCACATACTTGTCCCACCGTTTTTGCGGAAATGGCAAAATTTCGACGGGTTGAATAACAACCCACTGAAATTTAAGGAATAATCAATGTCAGATTCATGGTCAGATAATAAAAGAATGTAATCTCTCAGTGAAATGAAGTCATGGTAATAATAGAAGCTAGGAATCTCCTGCATTTTAGGGCAACATATAAACTTACTTACTTTATCCAAAGTCATGTCTGGAAGCTCATCTGCAAGTTCGCTTGGGGAACTATCTGCGCTGGAACTTGCTATAACAGGAATGGTAGATTCATAGCCATAGAATGCTAGCAAATCTTCTAATGGCATGCTTCCTTCCTGAGTTTTTTAAAATAAATAAACAAAGAGAAAATAGATTGCCATTTGTAGAAGACAATATAATTTTGCACACATGTTGAGGAACAAAGTAGCTTAAATAATTAAAAAGAAATTATGCTATTGGTAAAAATATTTATTAATGCTTCATAGTTTATTGAAAGTGATAATCCCCTTAACAATTTGAACTATTAATTTACAATCTAGCGTGCATCATTAAAATTGAAATACAAAGTATTCTCTTAACAAACAAGAGAGCTGAAGGCAGTGCCACAAAGCAATCAATGTTTCATTACATGCAAATTATATAATAATTAGATTTATCTTTGGAGCTAATACTTCATTCCAAAAAGAAGTCGTACTAACATTACTTTCCCTCATTTATATTGCTAATGTAAATAGGTTTTCCAGTTATTTTTAAAATAGCATTTCCCAGAAATTATTTTTTGAACTGATTTATATCACTATAGTGGTGTACATAGTTGCCACAAAAGTTGTAGAATGCAGCACTCTCAAACGATGTTTAAGAACAAACCTCTAGATGCATTCTTTTGGGAGGGGGAGTCTTACCTTTTCTAAGTCTTCAATCTCAGAACTGAAATTTTTGCCTTCATCCATCATTTCTTCCTCTTCCAGAGTTCTTTCATCATCATAATCATGTACCAACATTTCAGCTGTAGGGTCAAAGTCATGATCCTCAGAAGATAAAGAGCCAACTATAAAAAGATAATTTGAATCTCTTTAGCAAAAGGTACCAATATCTTAAATTTTACATTACCAAAATTCAACAATTAAATGCCCCAAACAAGCATGTATCAACCATGGCATGAATTTTAAGCACGGCTGTAGATTCTGCAGAGTAAATCTAATACAATATTAGATTAATGCTTCTTATTTTAAAACAATTCTATAGGAGTAGGAAGGGAGTTCCTTGGAGCAAACACATTCAACGGGCATAGTAGAATGATTTCATTACAGCTTTTGTCAAAAGCACTAAAATTGAAATAATCATATTTGCACTTATACTGTACTAGTATTAGCTACACCAGTCCTAAACCCACTGTAGCTATACAATGTAGCTATTATTTTCATAGCTACTCGATTTTGATTTCATGGATTACTGAATGTGCTGAAACCGTTATAAGCATAATAGTTTGTATGTGAAAGCTCACAGAATCTGTTATCAGGAAAATAGCACTATTTCAGAATGCTAAAAAATGAAGAGATGGTTCAAATTCTAAAGCTAATACATTTTGAGGGAAGACCTAAAGCTACCTAAAATTTTTAGAACTGGTTTCTACAACTCATTGTGTTTATAGAACCGTCTCAGTACAAAGCATTATTTTTTTAGACCCTGAATTGCTAGGAATTCTGGAAGATGTTGCTCCAATGGCTTCAGAATATCCCTTTGGGAAGATGGTTAGGGTTAGGGTGGAAACACCTAGCTGATTATGGATGATTTTGACAAAGATAAGCAGAGTTTATACTTGGATGGGAAACCACCAAGAAAGCTCAAGACTGTAAGCTAGAGAAGGTTGAAAAATGTCAGGGAAAAAGGCAATAGCAACCAAATTCCATCCTGTTGCCAGGAAGGTAGCATGGATGGGCTCTTATAACCCTCAGGAGTCAGCTGGACTCGGGTGAATCTTTGATTTTTGTTTTTAGTACGTTGGAAGTTAACAGAATGCCTTCAAATTATACATTTCCATTAAAGAAAAGTATTTGCACTTGGACATAAAATGTATGTTATTTACCCGAAACTGTCAAAATTAACCATCTAAACAAGCTGTAATTTTCGGTAATGTACATAAAATATAAAACAGCTTATTTTATTTTTGGAATGTTCTTTCTTTGAAAATGATTATGTATGGCACTTAACAGTTGTTTATTCAAATTAATAAAATATGTTCAATCATGATAGAAATGATTATGACAAAAATGTGACATTTAATAATCAAATTTCAAGAGTTTAAGCATTATAAAGTGCCTTTATTCTTGATTGAAAACATAAAATTAATGCAATCAATCATGCTTAACTTTAGCTGATTTTGCTCACTGTTTTTTTTAAAATGATTCTTAGAATGAATATTAATCTTAAATAAAATTTATACTGTAAATAAGATGGAAAAATCTTAAGTTACAATAAAATTGGATCATTATTATAAAGTTAATATAAACCTATGCCTGCCTTTATCAGAGCAAACCATAATGATTTCATGAAGCTTACTCCCTAAAAAAGTGATATTACAGTTCCAAAGATGAAATTTAAAGGAAGGGGAGTAAACATGGGTATCATGTGTCACTTCCTCAGTCTGCTAAATGGATGATAACAAGGCTACCGTCAAGCAGATGTAGCTGATTGGCCTGATCTACAGGGCCATTTTGGGAAATAAACCAGCTTTGGATTCAGAGAATCCAAGACTGATTTTAGACAAATGGACAATATTTGGAACACAGCAACAGATCTATCACATTGTTTTTGCAAGGCTGTGCTTACTGTTGTGAGCCATCGTGGGGACCTTATCAATCCAATCAGGTGGATTTACTTCTGAAAAACATGGTGATCAAGTTAAAAAAACTGGAATTTTCAACTCATTTCCCATAAAGAAAGTCCTACTGAACTGTAGTGAACTTACTTCCAAATAAGCATACTTAGTATCATACTTAGCAAGTGGAGGGAATCTTACCCATCCAAACTTGTGCCAGACATCAGATTTCTAGTGTAGCACTGCACTATAGTTACATTAGAAAGATGTTTTACCATTTTTTCTGAAAAATGTATTTGAGATACTTTTGAAATGGTTTTATATTTACATATTACATGTATTATTAAATATATATATTTAAGGAAGAAGACCTTGATAACATAGTTCTACTCAGAATTTATCCTAAATTCAAAGGGGCTAATTTCAAAATTATACCCAGAAACATTGTCAAATTAGTTAATATTTTAAAATATAATGTACTATGTAACAAGTTGATCAAAGGCATGTTATAAGACTCTTCATACATTTTATATGTTGTAATTATCTGATAGTTTTAATTTTGATTTTATTACAAGTTAATACATTGCACTTTATTTTCACTGACAAAAATAACTTCGCTTTTATTTCCACTCATAAAGTTATATTTCTATTTAGTTCATTAACATCCTGTAAAGAAAGAAATTAATATTATTGCTTAAAACTAAAGAAGCATTATGATCAAGGATGAATGCTTCAAAATGCAATGGAACTTTCCTTAAGGCAATATACACAATTAAGGAATACATACAATCTATTCTAGCCAGGAATGGTTGGGTCCCATTATCATCAATGAAACTTACTTCCAAATACGATTATACTTGCTTTTATTTTCCTTTGAAGGAACAGCATATATTAGCTGAGCATCCCACTATTCCTGCAACTTTGGTCCCTAAACATACTTCAAAGAATTGACAGAACTTCTGGAAGAGGATTGGGGAAGTATATAGGGTTGAAGGACACACAAAAATGACAAATTTCTACTAAGTGAACAGAAAACTGCTAATCAGTTCTCATTCCCTACTTTTATTGTATTATTTTTCTTTGTACCAATAAAATAATGCACTGTTAGAGGGTCTAAAGCCCATATTAACAATCTTATAGTAAGTCCAATTTACTTCTGAAAATATGGTAATCAAGACTGTGATTTTCACTTATGTTGCAAAATACAAATTAATGAAAATGGTTTACTTCCAAATAAGCATGCTTCATATCATGCTTAATAAAATAGCAGGAGGTCTGCAGATCACTGAAGCAACATACATTTTTATTCAGCAATTTTTTAAATTGAAGCTTCTTGCATATTCAATAAATGTTTGGAAAATCAAACAGAACAATTTGAAACTGATCACAAGAATTTCTATAGGGCAGAATGCCTCTGCAAAGAGCTTCATACTTTCAATAAGAACCAAACAGGTGATTTTAGGATAAAACAACTGAGCATGAACTACAGACAATGAAGAAGGAAGTAATCATTTTAACATCATCAAGAAAACACATAAAACATCTTTGATAGATGTGCCTGTACTCGGGCCCTTAGCCGTACCCAAAAGCTTCCCACTGCTGGAATCACAGAAGAAGGAACTGAACAGGACAAACCTGGGCTCGAACTCCCAAAGGAAGCCTGGAACAAGCAATGAGAGAGGGAGGGGGAAAAATAGATTACAAATAGCTTGGCCAGAGAGACTTGGAAAAAGTGGTCTTATAAAAAGGAAATGTTAAGGCAACCCCTCCTAATTATTCAATCTCTCTTTCTCTTAGACAAACACACTTCCCCATCTTTCCCCCCCCCATTTCTCCCTCTAACTTCTTTCTTTCCCCTCCTTCGCCTCTCAGCATCCCTCCATCGCTTCCCCCCCACCCGCACCCCCACCGCTCCCTCTTCTCGCCTCCCTTTTCCTCCGCATTCAGCCCCCAAGTTGTCTCTCTCCCTCCAACCTTCCTCTTTTCCCAACTCCTCCGCCTCGTCCCCGACGCGAGACCCGGGCCTTGACACTCGTCCCATCCCGGCAGGGCCCGCCCGAGAGGTGACAGGGGCAGCTTAAGAAGGAGAGACCAAAAGATCCGGGCTGCCCGTCGGAGAATCTCACCGCTCCGTCGCCTCCCTCCTCATCTCACCCCAGCCAAACCGTCTCCATCCCGGATTCCGACCCGCCGCGGAACCGGAGAAAAGAGACCTCTCCGCTCCCGGCCCCGGGACTGTGGGTGGAGACCGGTAGAGCGCTCAGCAGACAGCTATAGGCAGACGGACCGACGGACGGACGGAGGCAGCCGCGGCCTAGTCGCTTAGGCTGCGCTTCTCCGCTTCAAGTAGCCTGAGGAGCCCCCAGCCGCCCCCCAAGACCTCTTTGCTAGGGCTCCGACCCCCGGGAGGGAGTTATAGGGGTGCCGGAGCGGCCTGAAGGGGCCGCCCTGCCGCGAAATTCGACCAGGAACCGGCCGGACCCCAGCGCCCCTACCCGCTTTCCCCACTCACCTCCGCCATATTGGGAGCGCTCGGGCTGAGCAGCAGCGATGCGCCAAATGCCCGGATGGGGCCGCTAAGCCAATGGCAGCCCGGCCGGGACTGGGGCTACAGCCGGGTGGGGAAGGAGCGGGGAAGAAAGCGGCCTCCCTGCCTTGCCGGGCGGCGGGGTAGAGGCGGAGAAAAGGGCGCCGATGCTCCGTCCATCCTGCCGGAGACTTTGGCTACGCCGCAGCCCCGGAGGAACGCCGGGAGGAAGGAAAGGAAAGGGGAAGGTGGATGGGAACTCCCCGCTCGCAGTCCGGCCATGGGGATGAAGCCTTCGCCTCATTCGCGAAGTTTGATGGGACCTCTCTTAAGCGCCGGGATAAAAGAACCGCGGCAGCGGGAGGGAAGGGTCCCCACGGGACTAGTCCACCTGGTCGGGCCGGCACGGTAGTTCGAGCACCGCGCTGAAAACGCCTGGCCGCGATTTGCTTAGATAGCAGCACCGAGTAGCTGCAGCGACAACAGTTGGAAGGGGCCGTCGCCACTAGCCGCCTGGCCACTGTGGGGTTCCCCACATTATAGGTCTCCGACAGACGCCTGAACGCCGCCTCTAGTTGAGGCGAGGATCTCCGGGAAAGCGGTGCTAACTCGCAATGTTTTCCAAGCATCTCCCGAGCCTACTGGTAACGCGTTCGTCCATTCCAGTGTCGCTACTAAACCAATCGCGCTGTGGCTGAGGATGATGCCAGACGCTCAGCCATTAATTCTTGGCTACAGACTTCGAGAAGAGAGAGGGTTTGGCCACAGGGATCCCTGGGTTCACCAATCTAACAAGTTTTTAAAAGTTAATTTCCAGCTTTTTTTTTATTACGGTTGCTTCACTGATGGGACTTTTACCAGAAAAGTAGGGGTCATCATTTTCCACTTAGAACCCTCTTGTATTTTCCCCATTCGTATTTTTCCCCACAAAAAAATTATTAAGAAATAATAGAATAGATGCACACAATATATTCTGACAGATTGGGCTAAGAGCCTTCTTTGGCAGGCACCAATGAAAGTAGTGAGATTAATTAATCGTTGTTTTATATGCCTCCAAACAACTTTGAACAAATAAGAGATGAGGAAGGAATTGCTGGTAAAAACTGTTTAAATACATAATAAAAGTGTTATCTAGAAATATCTTAAATTCTGCTGGATTAATACTTGTTGCCAAATGATGTAACTAGGTTGTAGCGGGATGCATAAGTTATTTTCAAATAAATATGCATAAGACAGCTGGCTGATTTCCATATTCAATATACTCCATTTTCTCAGATGAAATATATGCATACATACATAATCATTAGACTTTTCCATTTCAAGGTAAGCAACATTATATAGAGTGTGGGAAAAGAATATGAAAAGGAATGAAAATGTAGCCAATACAGTAGTAGTGTACACAAACACCATACTTATTTCTCCATACTTTTCAATACTTTCAAGTTATAATTAGTTTAACCTCATCCATATACTGCTTCATATATATTGGGGTTTTTTCACACTTCAAATCTCCTGTTTTCTTTTTGTGGGTGTCTTTGAATCAGTATCGACTATTTTCTTGGCAAGATTTCAGAAGTGATTTGCCATTGCCGCCTCCTAGGGCTAAGAGAATGTGCCTGGCCCATAGCCATCCAAGGTTTGTGGCCTAGACTACGGTCCAGAGGTTTCTATTCTGATGCCTTAATTTCCACATCATTCTCTCTCTCTCCCCTCATCTCATCAAATCCATCAAAGGATGGCTTTCTCGTTATTCTTAACTCATTTATTATTCCTCCATATATTTGTTCTACATTTCACTCCTCATTCTTTCTGTACGACCATACCCCTTCAGTATACTTCTTTCATATTGGTCATTCATGTCCTTCTGTACCGATCCACATTCAACTCAGAGTACTTAGTTATTTTTGACCCTTCTTTTTTTGTTTGCCTACTTATATTGAAGTATCCTATTTCCACTGAAATCAATGGATTGTTATGATTCTCTTAACATATCCACCTCATTTCCATTTAACAATCGATAGAAGCCACTCTATGAAGATATTTTTGCTTCTTTCAACAAATGTTCTTCACTGCCAACAGGCTGAATATTAACCACTATAATTCTTCCAGAATTTACACATTCAACATTTCTTCTTCCATTTCCTATTTTTTCTCAATATTTTTCCAAAATACACAAATTCATCTATTTACTCTACTTGTTTTACCATTTATATATAACTTGTAATAATGCTATTTTCCCTGTCAGACACAGCTACCTATATTTTTGACAGTCATTTTCAGATCCTATTCCTTGCTGTGTCATACACTTCCTCTAATATTCATTGCAGGTCTTTCAGGTTCTCAGTCAACAATTCAGCATTATCTGTACACAAAAGCATATGTGAATTCCTGTTCCCAGCCAATACACTTCTGACATCATCACAAATATTCCTTATATATTTATCCATTAGCGTGTTAAGCAACCAAGGGGACATCACATATCCTTGTAGTTCTGCTCATTGAATATTCTGTTTATTCCCCTACATTTTTATTTTCACCAGAATATGGTATTTTTTTCTTTCCACAAAAATTGAGGAAGAAAAGACAGAATAGTTGCCTAATGTATTTTCACAGGAGGGCCTTGAAACCCCAGTCTAAAAGCACAATGGAAGTGATGGGAAACTACAGATTTTGGATCTCTATAATAAACATAACTTATTAAACAGATTACA